TTTATATAATTTTAAGTGTCTACTCGTCCGAAAAAATTGAAGCCATAATGTCAGTCAAGTCAAGTTAAAAGACATATTTATGTATTATACCTAAAAAAATAAAAGAGTTTGCAACATATATATATATATACACATACATACTTAATACATGTGAATTAAAATATCAATCATATAAATAGCATTAGATTTGATGATAAATTCATAAAAAAAAATCCTACTTATATGTTAATCAAGTTAATTAAATAAATAAATGATTATATCTAGGTTAAAAATTATTCTATTGCATAATTGGATGATTGAAAATGTTAAAGATGAAATAGACATTGTATAGGATAAATGGGAGGGAGAATGTCTATTATTTAAACTTGAGGAAAAAAATATAATATTCAAATAAAATTGAGGTGTGTAAATAATTTTCACTCATAAAGCTAATTGGATTTTAATAAAATAAATCAGAAAAGGAAAACAAATGGAATAAACAATGGCCTGGGATAAGATCTACCTCAATTGTCATCATTAACTATATATATTAAATATAAATCTTATCACAATGATGATTTCTTTTTTGCCAAGAATTGTCCTATGTTCAATGTTCATTCATGCATATCTTAATAATTATCTTTCTATAATGGACAAAAACAATATGGTAAACAAATAATGAATATTCTAATATATCAATTTGTCTATATACCTATACCACTTGCCTGTATCTGGTGGCAATTACAGTCCCAATCTATTGAACCATTCAGATATTGTCATTTCTTTAAATATAACAATATTTTATTTTATTTTCTAAAATTGTTCACATTCTGTATTTTACTGCTAATCTGATCAATCTTATATACTATCAAATCATCAAATAAAATACACATTACTCTTTTTATTCTAATTTATGTAAATGAATTTGACTGACATGAAGTTAAGAGGAAAAAAAACCCTTTAAAAACATGTGAAAATAAAACATAATTTTTTTAATAATCATAAATTATTTCATTGACAGTAATTTTGTGATTATTAAACATCTCATATACAAAATTAAAATTAAAATTAAAATACAAAAAAAAGAATATTTTTTCTCAAACGGAATTAAAAAAAATACTTCCTCCCATCTGCGTCAGTTTATATTACTTACTTTCCTTTTTGGTCATTTTTAGACAGTAAAAAAAAAGACACTTTTTTTGTTAAGTAATAATTTAACTTTAAAATATCTATTTTACCTTTAATGAAATGATTTATATCAACACAAATATCTTTCACTTGTTTTAGACCACTAATTTCAAAAGTCTTATTTTCTTTCTTAAACACGATAATGAGTCAAACTAACTTGTATAAAATGGAATGGAGGGAGTAACAAAAATAAGATGAAAAAGATGGAGTAATTTGTTAAAGATACCTGGTCATGACTTGACAATTTTAAAAATTATCTAGTACTACAATTTAGATATGAGGATTGAGGGTGTATGATTTTAAAAAGAGCAGAGCAGGTATAAAAAGCCCATGCCTTTTCCCATTTTATGTGTCTGCCTCAATATTTTCAAAAATACAATTGCTCATCTATCTCCTTCTTTCAGTATTTTTTTCAGTTTAAAGGTAAGTAGATTCACCATTTTACATTCCCATCTATTTGGTTTTCTCTATGTTTCTGCACTTTGTTTACTATGTATTGTATGCTTTAGTCATTTTGGAAAACGTGTTGTTTTTTTTATATTGGTTTTCCATAGTCCAATTTTTTCTCAGAAGTTCAAAAAGTAAAGAAGAGTGGAAAAAAAATAAAATTAGATGGGGTCTTATGAGTAATCCCATTAATGAAAACCTTTAACTCTAAACTAGTTGATTCATTTATTTTTGTGAAATTTGCTGTTCTGCTGTTTTGCAGTCTCAAGATTCAATTTTTATTCAAAAATTATGCTAATGAATACAACTTCTATTGTTTTCTCTAAATCCATTTAATTGCGCATTCTGTTTTTCTTTTAATTTCTTGACCTTGATTGGGGGGTGGAGCCAACAATCGAACCTAGTAACTTTGGCTCAAATCATGTATTTGTATGTAAAGAAAAATGGAAATCTTAGTAAGAAAAATAGAAATCTTAGTAGCTCAGTTGGTTGACTACCTAAATTTTCACCTTGTTGGTAAAAGTTCGATTCCCACACTGTAATCCCCTCCCCATTTCCCTTACCCCAATGCAAAAATTAATTTAATATGTATCAATAATCAATACAAGAATGCAGTAGTAAAAGCAAATTGTCATTTTCAGTGTGAACTTTGTTCTTAGTTACTCTTTATGATTTCATTCAGGTAAACATAGACATTGGGTTGTTACAAGTTAAAGTATCCTCTTCAGTATTCTCTAGTTCATTAAAAGGACCAAGGGAATGCTGAAAGATGTGCTTAAGAGCTAGCAAGTTTTTCTTTGAAATTGAAGCACTATTGGAGCTATCCGATAAACTTGATGAGATTGCACCATTATTTCCAACGTCGTCCATGTTCACTCATCAAATGCCAAACCCGACTAGATTCTTTCACGGTCAAATTGTATCGTATCACCATCTTAGTGAAGCTGGTTGAGTTGCTCATTTCTTGATAAATATTGTGTTGAAAATAGCTAGTTTGATTACTCGGGGTTTGTTGAAGTTGAGATGGAGAGTAAGGGGAGTAGTATACTAATGGAAAGGTATGAGTTAGGGAGATTGTTAGGACAAGGTACTTTTGCTAAGGTCCATCATGCGAGAGATGTCAAGACTAGCATGAATGTGGCTATTAAGATCATCGATAAGGAGAAGATTGTAAAAGTTGGGATGATTGATCAAATCAAATGCGAGATTTCAGCGATGAAATTGGTTAGGCATTCTAATATTGTGCAGCTCTATGAGGTGATGGCCAGCAAAAAGAAGATTTATTGTGTAATGGAATATGAGGCGAGTTGTATAACAAAGTGTCTAAAGGGAAGTTAAAGGAAGATGTTGCAAGGAAGTTATTTCAGCAATTGATTAATGCTATTGATTTCTGTCATAGTAGAGGTGTTTATCACCGAGACCTAAAACCGGAGAATCTATTGCTTGATGAAAATGGGAATCTAAAGATTTCAGATTTTGGATTGAGTGCTCTTGCAGAATCTAAATGCCAAGACGGTTTACTTCATACTAAATGTGGGACACCAGCTTATGTTGCACCAGAAGTGATAAACAGGAGAGGCTATGACGGTGCTAAAGCTGATATTTGGTCATGTGGGGTGATATTATATGTCCTTTTGGCTGGATATCTTCCTTTCCAGGATTCAAATTTAATGGAGATGTACAGAAAGATCGGTAAGGCTGAGTTCAAATGCCCTAACTGGTTCCCTCCTGATGCTCGCAGGCTGATATCGAAAATATTAAATCCAAATCCTAGCACAAGAATGTCCATTTCTAAGATAATGGAGAATTCTTGGTTCAAGAAAGGGTTGCAGCTGAAACCTATAAATGCTGATACTGAATTGAAGCCTGAAGAGGCAGCGATTGATGACGCAGGTTTTGGTATCGGTGAGAGTACCGACTCAATAACAGAAACAGAGCCAGAACTGGTCAAGCCTGCACACTTGAATGCTTTTGATATAATATCTTTCTCAACAGGTGTTGACTTGTCTGGCTTGTTTGAAGAAAGAGATAGAAAGAGGGAAGTTATATTTACATCAAAGCAACCGGCGAAAACAATCATCTCAAAGCTAGAGGATGTAGCTAGGCGTTTGAAGTTGAAGGTGATGAAAAAGGATGGAGGACTATTGAAGTTGGAAGGATCTAAAGAAGGAAGAAAAGGGGTGTTGTCTATTGATGCAGAAATCTTTGAGGTAACTCCAAATTTTCACTTTGTTGAGATGAAGAAATCGAATGGAGATACGATAGAGTACAAGAAGACAATGATAAAGGATGTAAGACCAGCATTGGAAGACATTGTATGGACTTGGCAAGGTGACGAGCCGCGGCCTCAGCAGCTAGCAGAGGAAGAAATTTTTCAGACTTATCAGGGGTACTCATTTGACACTAATTCACCTCAGAAGAATGCATAATAGAGAGAGAAGTATAAATCTGATGTAACTTGATCTTTTTCCATTTTCTGTGCTATTAATGATGTATTTATATTTGAATAATAGAATATTAAGTCCACTCTATAATTTCTTTTATGTTCTGGATTCAAGGTTGCATCAGCTTTTTATATCAGTTTGTTCTCTGGGGAGAAACAATGAGTAAAACAAAATCCTCTCCAGTGTTATTAAAACAATGGGTAGTTGGTGGAGCATTAGAAAGATTAATGCATGCATTTTTTTGAGTCTGTAAATCTACCTAAAAATAAATAAAAAAGCAAACATAAAATAGGAAGGTAACAAAAACATCTAGATTATTGTCTTTTTGCTTCTTTGCTGAAGCTCAATTAGCTCTACTACTTTTGAAGCTCCAGCTCTTCGGTTCTTTGCATCTTCCTCATCAACGCTCTATGACGGGTGTTTCTTTATTTCCTTAATCTTTCGTTCGTTCTGCACTTTCTTGTTAGCTGTTCTTTTGAGTTCCTACAAGAATCCTTAGGTACATATAGAAGAATATAATGAGCACCCATAGTGCTAATGCCACACACTATATTTGTTCCCAACTGTTGGTTGATAGAGGATATTCTCCGTATCAAGATTTGATTCTGTTCCACAATCGCTCATGTATATAAAACCATGTATATGACCTAGAAAGATAGAAATAAAATTATCCAACTATCTTATTCCACATGGTGTCAGAGCCTTAGGCTTATTCCTAACTAAGTTTATTCATATCTTTCTATAGACCCATCTGACTTATATTTCCTAGCAAACACCCATCTGCTCCCAACCAACTTTTTTCCTTTTGGTAATTTCACAATTTCCAAAGTTTTGTATTTTCCAACGCTTCTACTTCAACCTTCATAGCTTTCTCCCACTCCCCGTTACCTAATGCTTCAGACAAATATTTGGGGATAGGAATTGTGTGGAGGTTATAGAGAAAAAGCTTTATGACTTGGGGATAGATTTTAATATGTCACGAAAAGGTATTCTGTTCCACAATCTCACATGTATATAAAGATACTAGTCTTTGGGAACGTGCGTTGCACGTTTATCCCCTATTATTTTCATAAAATTTCTACATGCCTAATTTTATATCTTCAAATCCACGTTTTCAAAGACTGTTATTTTTAAAATTTGTACATGCCTAATTTTTTGTATTATTCTACTAAATATGTGTTTAGTCAAATACAACAATATCATCTAATTTTAACACAATTTTAGTTATTACTCCCACTATTCCTTTTTAGTTGTCATATTGCGCTTTTTGAGAGTCAATTGACTAATTTTTAAAGTTAATTTAGATTACACTTATTTGATATTTTGAAATAATAATTTAGATATTCAAAAACTATACGAAATGTACTATAAATTGCAATTATTTTCATATCAATATGATGGAAAAATATATCTGAAAATGTTAGTTAAAGTTTATATCGTTTGACTATTAAGAAGAAAATAGCAAGTACTATAAAAGAACGGAGGGAGTAGTTCACAAAATAGAAAATGTTGAACTATGCAAAACTAATTAAGATAATATAACATCTAACATAATTAGAGTTGCTGACATAGAATTAGTGTTGATACTTATAATATTAAATTTTTTATTAAAACACCTAAATAGGACTAACTTGCTTTTTACCAACAAAAAAAGGGCAAAAGTATATAAATAATGATGCACCACATTCGAGGCAACCAAGCTATTTCCATGTATACATGTCTAGTAACGCCATTATCTTTAGAATGTGATACATAATCTTTAGGTTTATTCAAAAGTATGTAATTTTAATTTGGTTAAAAGATGCAACAGGATTATAACAAAAAATAATAATTCATTTAATACACCAAATACCTTTTCAAGAAGCAGCATATATTAGGAAACTAGGATTATTTCCCCATGCCGGTTCACTACTAAATCATCAAAAGCTCAATTTTGCTAAATCATGATTATAATTTCTAAACTCTTCGTGTATGGAAAAAATGAATGAAAAGGTTGGGCATATTTTATTAGGAAAATAAATCCTTGATTGATTACATGTACATTGACATTTCAAAAGTTAATATTGCAATAAAGATCGGAAGATGAAGCAATTCAAGATTGACTTAAATAAACATAATTAAGTACTAAAGAAGTGATACAAAGTTCAAGAAATAGTAAATAAACATTATTAAGTGCATGGGAATTCAAAATACATGTTTCACAAACTATAAGGAGAAGCCTAAACATCCAAGTTATTCATATACTAATGACATACAGTTAAATGCATATAGTATCTTACAATTAATTGATTTATTAATTGTATGAATTGTATTTACTACAACTTTTGGGTTTACTAGTGTTGTATAGTATACTATAATATTATTTAATTACTACTATCTAAATATTATTATATAAATATATTATAACATTTTAATTTAGAGTAGCTTTTTTTAATGGCATTATTGTAGTAACTCAATTTTATAGGGATATTTTGGTATTTCAACTTTCAACTTTTTTTTATTCCCACTTATAGTAATATTAGTTCTGAAAATGTGTGTTGCACGTTTATCCCAAAATATTTCATATAAATTTTGTATTGCAAATGACATATTTTCTCCGCTTCAAATTTATTGGTATTTACTAAAAAAATCCATTGTTTTTACAATAGAAAGTACATATATCTTCCTAATAAAAAGAATACATCCTTAATTATAAAATTGACTAAAAGTGCATAAAGTAAAAATAACTAATTATTGTACAAATACAATATTCAAATAAGTATACTAAAACACCACATGCTAGGTTAATATATACAAAGCAACAAACCACTGTAAATTCTCAATATTATTAATAATAAAATAATAAAAAGTTATACAATAACAGCAAACAAGAAACATAAACATTAAAAAAGCAAATAAAAAGAGACAAGAGTAGAGCATAGAGATTTTCTCCTTCTTCTTCTTTTTCCAACTGTTTTAAGTGAGTACAATATTGTGTCAAATGTCACTATTTATACGAGAGGATTGAAGAACATTTTGAGTTGTTATGAATATGACATTAATTCATTTGATCATGGATGAGAGGTGGGAGTAAAAACCATAATTAATATAATTAGTGAGAGTTGCATATATTCTACTATATTATAAAGAGAGTTTAGGCCCAAGTATAGTATATAATATTCAAGATTGGGACTTTCCCAATCTTTTCTACTATATTATAAAAGAGAGTTTAGGCCAAAGTATAATATATAATATTCAAGATTGGGACTTTTCCCAATCTTGAATATTATATATTATATTTATTATATACTAGAACTTGGGTATAAACTCCCTTTTAAAATAATATAGAATATGTATATATATATATTCTACTATATTATAAAAGAGGGTTTAGGCCCAAGTATAATATATAATATTCAAGATTGGGACTTTTCCCAATCTTAAATATTATATACTATACTTGTGGGACTTTTAAAATTCTATTTTTATACCCAAGTATAATATATAATATTCAAGATGGAGACTTTCTTGAATATTATATATTATATATAGCGTCAAAGAAAGTACAAGTTTGTGATAAAAAAACTTATTCATTTATCCACACAAACAATTGCTTCAAAAACTCGGTTATTAGCCCCAGAATATACCATTTATATTAATGGGCCCGTGTATAGCACGAGCAACATTATCTAGTATTTACATAATGAAGAGTTAGAGGTAATACAATCTATGTAATGTACTTCACATTAATACAAATATTTATATACAAAAAATAATTTAATATAGATCTATATGAATTTTCTTCTTTTTGTTAAGGGCAAACATACCCATTCATATTTTCAATTGGAAGATGAACAAAACAAAAAAAATTATGAATTTAACTTCAACATGAAATTAATAAAATAATACATTTTCAAAAAACTTTATGGTGGTTGATTCATGTACTAATATGATGATTTACTATTCAATATTTAATTTATTAAATAGTTTATAACATTTAAATTTAATGTAGGGATAAAATTGTAATCTAACTTTTGCTAACATTCTTTTATATATATATATATATATATACATACATATTAATAAGCGCCCTTACATTACGGAGTTTGGGACCTGGCTATCGTCAGGATCCAAAAGTACAGAAATATTTCCAAAAGATGCTAGCTTATTACAAGTTAACAAAGATACTAATTTACTAGATGACAATCCTTGTTTATCTGCAACCACAATGTGTCGCAGAGGGGCTGGTGGAGGGACAATGATGATCTTTAGGTTAGACACTGCTAGCTGGGCTCCATGTTTTACGAGGATGTCTGCAACCTCGTTGGCCTGTCGGAAGCTATGTCGGATCGTCGGACTCCCCAACTTCCTCAACAGTGACCTGCAAGTTAAAATCGCAAAATTATTGACTGGATTTATATGATCTAATAAGTCTAGTAGGTCTGTGGAGTCTGTCTCAATCTCGCAGGGATGAATTTTATGATCCCAAAGAAGCATAAGGCCATGCTTAAGGGCATCTATTTCAGTAAAGATATGATTTTGCACATTAACCTTGGAGGAGAAACCGATCACCCAATCACCTTTGCAGTCGCGTACAACCCCTCCAATTCCACTCAAGTTGGCCCTATCATTTTGAGAAGAAAAAGCGCCATCTATATTAAACTTAAAGTAGTTTGTAGGTGGGGGTTCCAGTGAATAAGAATGGTCTTACATGCGACATTATCACAGGGATGATTCGTGGTAAGAATGTATTCTATTGCACGATCTATGACTGTTTGCGCATTCAAGAGAGAGTATATATATATAATATTACCATCTTAGTGTTCTTAACCAATTGTTAATTATGCTGTTTTTTTTGTGTGCATGGTTCATAAGAAGTTGGTATTATTGGGATTGTATTATATTTGGTATTATTAGAATTTAGAATTGTTGGAAGGTAAAAAGATTGTAATTTAGTCAACTCCTAAATCTTGTAGCTCTTCATTTTTCTACTTTCTGGTAATTAA